AAAAAACCGAGGAGCGAATTTTGTTGAAATCTCGAAACTACTATTGATATGGGAAGTAAGCATATATATATATATATATATATATATATACAAGAGCTGTTACCGTTGCTCACATTTCTAATTTATCTAATTATTATTAACTAATATAATCCCCCATTATATTAGTTCAAAAAGTCTTGAGCTAAGTGGCATGCTCGCATACTTCGTGATCATCTTTGACAAAATTACATGCTTCGTTATTAGGCTTGGATCGATTTTAATTTATTTCCAAACCAAAATAATTAGGTCCGGATTATCCATAAATATGTTAATTATTTAGGTCATGTTACATGTATTAATTTCATTTTAAAATTATTTTTTATTAAACCATTGAATTGTAAGTATATTTAAAAGTTAATACCTTATGTATTTTTATCATTTTTACATATATAATATATTAAATTAATCATCTCTTGATGAATCTCGATTTAACATTCATATTGTATGTATAAAAAAAATTAAATTATATTTATCTTTACATCAATGATAAAGTTATTTTTTAATATTAATTTGAAAAATAAAAATTATTTATCAATTAATATATTTATATTTCAAGTAGTTATATGATTTAAGTTATAAAAATTACAATAATATAACACATGTAAGTCACAAAAGTAACAAGTGTTATTCTAAAATACTTAATAATATATACTTTTTGTAAAAACAAAAATAAAATTTAAAATAATTTCTCTCATTAATTTTAAAATTTAAGAAATATTTCTTTTAACAATCATCATTGTAATATACGGGTGTTGCACTAGTATACATGTATTACCGAGTGATTATTAAAAAAAATACTTTAAATTAAAAATAATGAAAAAAATTGTTGAATTTTAAATATTTTTTAAAAATTTGTATTATAATTTATATTCCAAATGTCACCGGCCACTATACCACCTACTCATCTAATCTAATTATTATAATAAAGATGTTTAACTTATATCATGAACTACATTTTAGTTGAATTAAATTAAAATAATTTTTTTGAAATAATATTAATAGATAATTTAATTTTTATTATAAATGTAAATATATTTATCTATTTATTTGTATGTACAATATAAATGTCAAATCGAAGCTCATCAAGAGATATATTGCATATAAAACATTATAACAAATTCAAAAAGTATTAACTTATAAAATATATTTCTAATTTAAGTTAGTAGTTTTTTTATTTATTTAAAAAAGAAGACCCATGGAAAGAGAAAGGCTGGTAAAAAAATTTATGCCTTATAAACCACTTATAGTATAGAAAATAATATTAAAACATAATTAATACTCCTTAAATGGATAATAAATATCTAGTATATTTAAGGTTACTAGTATCTTCACCCGTGCGATGCACGGAGCATATTTATTAAAATATTTTAATAAATACATTAAAAATATATATATATATATATATCATAAAAAGTAAATGACAAATAAATAACATTATTATTGAATAGATAGTAAAAGTACAATATTATATGGTATTACAAATTTTGAAAAATTTCTCGATAGACAACATTTTTAGTAGTTTTTTTTTCCCACTATCGTCCCCCCACATATTAATATCTTCAATCCCTGTGGATTAGTGACTCGAGACACATCAACGTATAATTGATCATGACTAATAAACACGGATCTTTCATGTAAAGTCCGACATGGGATAACGACTGCTCTTGACTCTTGTTGATTGTCATTGCGTAAGAAAACATAAGAGTAAATTGTCTACGCTGGAACTTGAAGGGTATCTGAGATCAGACGGAGTTAGAGAAAGTCTTGGTACCAATACCTTATGTCCAGCATTTGATCCTGTTAGAATCTTACATTCAAACACGTGAGTGAAAAGCTTCGGTATCACCAAGCGTGTTCCATTACACAGTCCAATAGAATGGTCAATGTTTCTCAACAACATGACATAAGTCCCAACCTTTAAGTGCAATTCATGATTTGGAACACCAGAACATTTTATACTATTTAAGAACTCCTGAGTGTGCATGTCATGCAAGAAATTAACACCACCATCGGATTTGAATATGAGAGAACAATACACAGATTTTGAATATGAGATTTATAGCGTGAATTACTCCTATTCTGTACTCGAGTATCTTGGTAAGTTTGGGTGTATTTTGTTAAGCATTCACCAATAATAATGCTTAATTTTTATTGACATTAATATGATTCAAGTATTTTGTTAAGCATTCACCGGCAAAATTTAAAAAATGATAAACTAAGTTGGCGTTGTCAACAAAACAGACATTTTGTTGTCCCTCACGGAAAGAAATATTCAGTTGACAATTTGGTCAGAAAAGATACATTAATCACTCGACCTGGATAAAAAATTGAAGTAGTCGGATTAGATAATGACGTGACATTATAAATTTCCTTAATTTCCTACGTGTTATATACGTGGCGTTATGTGTCATCCTTCTCTCCAAGTACACAACTACGCATACATAAATAAAAATAAAAATAATCCAAAAATAAATAAATAATAAAAATACATCAGAAAAAATAAAATAATAATAATAATAATAAATAGAAAAAAAAAACAAAAAAAAATTATAGAAAAATATATTTCATTCTATTTTGTCAACTATATATTAATAAAATATTTAAAATAATTTATATTTTGTTAATATATATCAAAAATATAAAGATTATTCGTTAATATTTCGTTTCATATAAATATAGTTCACTAATATATATATATATTAAAAATACTAAAAATAGAAAAATGAAGTTCATTAATAATAATAATTATATATAATTAACTATCTAATATAACACTTTACATAATATTTTATTTATTTAATATATATAAGTATATTAAATATTAATATAAACCACAGGTAAAAATTTCCATTTAAATAAATAAAAATATATTTTTTTAGATATATATTTTTGAAATAAATTAAAATATATTATTTAATATAAATTTATATTTTGTGATTTATATTTATATTTAATACTTATATATATTAAGTAAATAAAATTTTATGTAAACTACTATATTAGATAATATAATTAATAATAAACTATATATAATTATTATTATTAACAAAATATTTTTTAATATATATTCGCGAATATATTTATATTTAACGAAATATTAACAAAATATTCTTATAAACGAAATATTAACAAAGTACTTTTTATTTTTTTAATAATTTATAATATATATTAACAAAATATAATTTTAAAAATATTTTATTAATATATAGTTAAGGAAATAGAACGAAATATATTTTTTTTTATTTTTGGATTTTTATTAATTTTTCTATTTTTTTATTTTTATTATTATTATTATAATTATTATTTTTTTTTTTGTTGATGTGTCTTTATATTTATTTAATTTTGGATTTTTTTATTTTATTTTTATTTATCTATGTGTAGTTGTGTATTTTGAGATAATGATGTCACATCACGCCACGTATATAACACGTATGAAACTAAAGAAAGTTATAATGCCACATCACTACGTAATCCGGCCACGCCAGCTTTTTTATCCAGGTGGGGTGATTAATATATCTTTTCCGACCAAATCGCCAACTACATGTTTCTTTTCCGCAAGGAACAACAAAATATCTATTTTGTTGACAACGCTCAACTTGGTGTATCATTTTTGAAATTTTACCAGCATTCACCATTATATCATGTATTCATCTAATAACTTAATTTAAATAAGTTATTCATCATAAATATTTATTTTAACATGTTTTTTAGATCTATGCGTAATGTTAGAATAAACTAATATGTATGGTTATGTTAGCATAAACTAATACTGCTGCCTTAAAAAACATAGTAATGACATATGTAGAGTTCATGATATTAAATATATTTAAGGTATCAAGTGATTGGAATATGGCTGACCGTAGTTGATGCTATATATTTTTAAATATATAGTAAAAGAATTTAATATATTTCCAAACAAAATGAATTGAGTAAGTTAACTTATAATTATTATTTTCCATTCCTAAAATTTACCAAAAATAATTGAATACGAATTTAGTTATGTTAATGTATTTTCCATAACTATTTGGCATTGTTAACAAAAATAATTAACCTTACAATTGCAATTACCCAACCAAATGTAGAAATGTTGCCAATTATAGTCATTGCATATCATCTATATTTAGCAATAAATTCCATCAACTCCCTCTTTATATATATATAGATTCCAAACCTAGTTATTACTGGATTGTAAGTAAATTAAAATATATTCAAGCTAAATGACAAAACATAAAAAGTTGTCACCTAGAATCCCAAAGCGTGCGAAACTGCCCATATAGGTTCAGCACATTCAGAAATGATATATAAGAGGATATGAAGCTCAGTTACCCTAATACCTAACAATAGTGAACGATTTTTGTTGCTAAAT